ATAGATTAGGAGAGTGAGGGGGGGCATCCTATAGATTAGAGGAGTGAGGCTGGGGGGGGCAGCAGCCTATAGATTAGGGGAGTGAGGCATGGGGGGTGGGCAGCCTATAGATTAGGGAAGTGAGCATAGGCGTGCGCAGCCTATTGCATTAGGGTGTGCACCCTAAAGCACAAACACACGCCACATGTTTACGTATGTGTGTGTGTATATATATATATATATATATATATATATATATATACACACACACTGCTGTGTGTGTGTGTGTGAGGGTGCTGTTTGTGTGCTGTGTGTGAGGGAACTGGTAGTGTGCTGTGTGTGTGTGTGTGTGAGAGAGAGGGTGTTTGTGTGTGCATGCTTGTTCGGGTCCTGTTAGTGTGCTGTGTGTGGGTGTTGTGTGTTTGTCAGGGTGCTGTTTGTGTGTGTGGGTGCTGTGCGGGTGTTGTGTGTTTGTGAGGATGCTGTTAGTGTGCTGGGTGTGTGTGGGTGTTGTATGTGTGAGGGTGCTGTGTGTGCGAGGGTGAAGTATGTGTGTGGGTGCTGTTTGTGGGCTGTGTGTGCTGTGTGTAGGTACTGTGTGTGTGTGTGTACTGTATGTTTGGGTGGAGGTGGGGGCAGATTAGTTAATATCCCAGTCCTGCTGCCTTCCCTGGTGGTTCAGTGTAGAGTGAACTCTAGCCCGGGTTCTCTGCTGCCTCCCTCCATGCTGCTGTGGACCGGTGAGGTAGAACTTTGATCTCCCCACCGGCCCATGGAGGCTTAGACCAGAGCCGCCGCTCGGATAGCGTCGGCTCTGCATGAGCCGACTGCGGAGATCCAGAGATCTCCCCTGCCGGTCTCAATCCACTGGCGTGCCGCGGGGATTAGGATGTGCCCAGGCACACCCGACACACCCGTGCGCACGCCTATGGAAGTGAGGGATGGGGGAGACAGCCTACATGAAGAGTCAGCAAGGAGCAAGAAGGTAAAGTAAGAAAAGGAGAAGGAACAGAAATGAGCAGGAAGGGACATAAAGGGGCAGCAAGGAGCTGGAAGGGACAGCAAGGAGCACAAAAGGTAAAGTAGGAGAAGGAGCACAAAGGAACAGAAATGAACAGGAAGGGTCAGCAAGGAGCTGGAAGGTAAAGCAGCACAAAGGCAAAGTAGAAGGAGCAGAAAGGGTCAGAAATGAGCTGGAAGGGGCAGAAGGAGCACAAACATAAAGTAGGAGAATGAGCAGGAAGGGCCTGCAAGGAGCAGGAAGGAGCACAAAGGGACAGCAAGGAGCACAAAGGTAAAGTAGGAGAAAGAGCAGAAAGGGACAGCAAGGAGCACAAAGGTAAAGTAGAAAAGGAAGCAGAAAGGGTCTGCAAGGAGCAGAAAGGGATCAGAATGAGAAAGGAGCAGAAGGGCGCTAAATAAGCAGAAAGTAGCAGAAAGGTAAAAGAGCAGAAGGGGCCAAGGATAGAAAACAGTGTCAGAAGAAAAAAAAAAGACTGTCAAATGAAGGAGAGGAAAAGGAGATTGTAGCAGGAAGGACAAATGAAGTGAACCCTCCACTTTATTCTGGACACCACATCATAAGGCTTTTGTACCTGGGCCAAGCAGGGAAACGCTGGACCTTCTCATCTCCAAAAGGTAAAAAAATATCAGTATTAATGTGTTCACTTTTATTTACTGAGTGTCAGGAAGCACAGAGTGCCGTTGGGTAGGGGTGTTGCTGATTGGCTAGAGCGGTCAGCTGGCACTCTAAGCCAATCAGTAGCTCCCCATTCATAAAAAAGTAAAAATATTTTATGAACCGGGAACTAGCGATTGGCTTAGAGCGCCAACTGTCCACTCTAGCCAATCAGCGGCACCCATGCCTGACGTCAGTCTGTACTTCCTGACACTCTGTTTCAGAAGCCAAATACCACTGAGCGACCTGGAGCTGGAGGAAGCCTTTGAGGTTAAACCATTTGAGAGCGATTTAACCCCTTAAAGGAAAGCGAGCACCCAGGGGCTTCCTGGCATCATAGCATTTTCATTTAGGTGAAGTTGTTATGGTGACCTGAATGGTCCTTTAATTTGCTTAAAGGAACACTATAGTGTCAGGAATACAAACATGTATTCCTGACACCATAGTTGTGAAAACGCTATTCACCCTGGCTTTGCCCTTTCCCTTTCATGACACTGTCAAAAAGGTACCAAGCATGGATGTCATTACAATTATGCCCCCCCCTGGAAAAATTCCTGCGGACGCCCATGGTTTCAAATGTTTATTGTAATGAGAAATAAATGAAAGTCTTTCATTTATTTCTCATTACAATAAACATTTGAAACTGTAAATGCCATAATAAGACATGCTGCAGGATTCAGGAAGGGAGGAGAAATAAACTGTACCTGCTGTTCTTGGAGAAGACGCTGCTGCGCTATGACCCGGCCGGGCCTCACCTCACCCTAGCGTTGCTGTGACTCTGCCTCCGCGTGATGTCATGTAACGTGCCGCATACGCTACTGGGGAGGTCTGGAGGAGGAGCAAGTCCATCCTTCACTATACGGCGATACCGCTCGCATAGTGAAGGATCGGATGGGAGGAAAAAAGATGGCAGTGCAGCACAGAGGTGGCAGAGCCTCAATTTTGAGGCTTGATTAGGGTGTGCCTAGGCACACCCGGCACACCCCGTGCACACGCCTATGATTTATATATATATATACACTGCTCAAAAGAATAAAGGGAACACTTAAACTACACAATGTAAGTCAATCACACTTCTGTGAAATCAAACTGTCCACTTAGGAAGCAACACTGAGTGACAATCAATTTCACATGCTGTTGTGCAAATGGGATAGACAACAGGTGGAAATTATAGGCAATTAGCAAGAGACCCCCAATAAAGGAGTGGTTCTGCAGGTGGTGACCACAGACCACTTCTCAGTTCCTGTGCTTCCAGGCTGATGTTTTGGTCACTTTTGAATGCTGGCGGTGCTTTCACTCTAGTGGTAGCATGAGACACAGTCTACAACCCACACAAGTGGTTCAGGTAGTGCAGCTCATCCAGGATGGCATATCAATGCGAGTTGTGTCTGTCAGTGTAGTGTCCAGAGCATGGAGGCGCTACCAGGAGACAGGCCAGTGCATCAGGAGACGTGGAGGAGGCCGTAGGAGGGCAACAACCGAGCAGCAGGACCGCTACCTCCGCCTTTGTGTAAGGAGAAACAGGAGGAGCACTGCCAGAGCCCTGCAAAATGACTTCCAGCAGGCCACAAATGTGCATGTGTCTGCTCAAACGGTCAGAAACAGACTCCATGAGGGTGGTATGACGGCCCGACATCCACAGGTGGGGGTTGTGCTTACAGCCCAACACCGTGCAGGATGTTTGGCATTTGCCAGAGAACACCAAGATTGGCAAATTCGCCACTGGCGCCCTGTGCTCTTCACAGATGAAAGCAGGTTCACACTGAGCACATGTGACAGACGTGACAGAGTCTGGAGACACCGTGGAGAACGTTCTGCTGCCTGCAACATCCTCCAGCATGACCGGTTTGGCAGTGGATCAGTAATGGTGTGGGGTTGCATTTCTTTGGGGGGCCGCACAGTCCTCCATGTGCTCGCCAGAGGTAGCCTGACTGCCATTTGGTGAGACCATATGTTGGTGCGGTTGGCCCTAGGTTCCTCCTAATGCAAGACAATGCTAGACCTCATGTGGCTAGAGTGTGTCAGCAGTTCCTGCAAGACGAAGGCATTGATGCTATGGACTGGCCCGCCCGTTCCCCAGACCTGAATTCAATTGAGCACATCTAGGATATCATGTCTCGCTCCATCCACCAATGTCACGTTGCACCACAGACTGTCCAGGAGTTGGCAGGTGCTTTAGTCCAGGTCTGGGAGGAGATCCCTCAGGAGGCCATCCGCCACCTCATCAGGAGGATGCACAGGCGTTGTAGGGAGGTCATACAGGCACGTGGAAGCCACACACACTACTGAGCCTCATTTTGACTTGTTTTAAGGACATTACATCAAAGTTGGATCAGCCTGTAGTGTGTTTTTCCACTTTAATTTTGAGTGTGACTCCAAATCCAGACCTCCATGGGTTGAAAACTTTTTGTGTGATTTTGTTGTCAGCACTTTAAACTATGTAAAGAACAAAGTATTTCAGAAGAATATTTAATTCATTCAGATCTAGGATGTTATTTTTGTGTTCCCTTTATTTTTTTGAGCAGTGCATATATATATATATATATATATATATATATATATAGTTAACACAATGTTAAGCAAAAATCTGCACACCAGTCAAGCCATACAACAAACACAGCTGTCCATGAGTGGTTCACTGGTTTTGCATCTTTTCCTAAATTGTGTTTCAAGCTGTTTTATCCAGCAAACACAGCTTAAAACGAATCCATGTTTAAAATGGAATGAGGCAAAAATGTGATTCTTTGTTCAACTAATTTGCATATGCCCACCCAGAATCCTTTGCGGTTGTAACATCACTGCAGATTTGGGATTTCTGTGGGAAAAGCAAGTCTTATGGTTTGACTGGTGTGCAGATTTTTGTTTACATTGTGTTAACTATCCACAGACTTCAGGTGGAAGGAGTTTTCAATCACAATTTTTCCCCACCATAACCTTTTTGGATTTTGATATATATCAATCATTTTAAATACCTGAAAAAATGTAATGTACATAATAATGACAGAAGATGTTTGTATAGGTTTGGAAATGGGCCTTATTAAAGGGGCACTATAGTCACCTAAACAACTTTAGCATAATGAAGCAGTTTTAGTGTATATATTATGCTTCTCAGGTTTCACTGCTCAACTCACTGCCATTTAAGAGTTAAATCACTTTGTTTCTGTTTATGCAGCCCTTGTCACACCTCCCCTGGCTCTGATTGACACAGCCTGCATGAAAAACCTTAAACAATTGTATCTCTTTCTCTGTAAATTGGACTTTAATCACATACATGAGGCTCTTGCAGGATCTAGCATGCTATTAACAGAGCAGGGGATAAGAAAATCTAAGTTAAACAGACCTTGCAAAAGGAAGGATAAACTTTAGATGACTCTTTACAGGAAGTGTTTAGGAAGGCTGTGCAAGTCGCATTCAGGGAGGTGTGATCAGGGTTCATAAACAAAGTGATTTAACTCCTAAATGGCAGATAATTGAGGAGTGAGACTGCAAGGACCCTATATATACACCAAAACTGCTTCATTAAGCAAAAGTTGTTTTGGTGACCATAGTGTCCCTTTAAATTAAACACTTCCATAAAAAGTTATTATTTATTATACAGGTTATTAAACCTCACTCTTCCAAATGTGTGTACAACCTTTTATTGAGAAGCTTTGCCGTCATCCTTGCTTCCGATTAAGCATGTTTTTATCTATTTGGCATATTTTTCAGAAATGTGTACTGTTAATTTATTGTTTTTTTATACAATTTTAAATAGCATCTGATAGTGTTTATTTTCCTTTTACACAAAAGCCCAGATTTGATTTACAATATTTTCTGTTGGCTTCGCAGTAGACACTACTATGGCAACAGGAGATTTGCAATGATTGCCCAGCAGCAAAACAAGAATGTTACATGTATCAATTCAATGAATTATTTTGCTTTGATAAAAAAAAAAAAATAATAATGTGTAATATTACAAAATACATTGGCAAGCCAGACACTGATTCACTGGCAATAAAGATAATATGTGTTGAATATTTCAAAATACATTTTATTATTTATGTCAATGCACTTAGTGATGTCAAATGGGAATGTACACTAAATATTCAAACTTTTATTGTAAAATAACAAATTTCAATCCATTAATATATAAACACTGCACACAAACGGGCATGGCTATATTCATAATTTAAATCAACAGAGTTATGGTGGGAAAAAAAGTGATTGAAAACCACTTCCACCTGAAGTCAGTGGATGGTAAATACATTGGTAAACACAGATCTGTACATACCAGCCAAGCCATAAAACGTTTTCCCACAGAAACTTCCCACATTTGCAATGTTGTTACTACTGCAAGGTATTGTGGGTGGGCATATGCAAATGAGTTCAACAATGAACCACCTTTTTGCCTCATTTATTCCATATTATGCATAAATTCCTTGGAGTATATGTCTGCTGTATACAACAGCTTTTAAACACAACTCAGAAAGAGATGCAAAGCCAGATAAGCACTCATGGACAGCATGACTTAATACATTAGTGGAAAGTCATTTTGAGAAAAACTTTGAGAAAACTCAAAGACATACATTTAAAAGAACCAGTTTACCTAACATTATTTAATTTCTTAGTTACATTTTTCAACTATATGTTGTTGTTTGAGTCAGTC